TGAGAACTTGAGAGACCCATTCGATCCCCGGTGGGACATTATTGGAGAATACTGAAATGCTAGAGACACGAAGCAAAGTGGAGACGGGACTGCGCTGGTATTCGACCATGGTGTCAGACCACCGGGAAAGCAGCGAAGCCTGTAACTGGGATAGCGGCCGATGCTCGAATGGGAGTCGGATCAACCATAGTACTCTGAGGTTGGGAGAGCCAACTACATGGGGAAGGTCTTGACGGAAGTACGTAGCCCGCAAAGGAATCTCATACCCAACGCAGAAGATTGGGAACACTATGAGCTACCCTCACTGCGGGGAATAGCCAGAAAAGCAAAGCAAGAACCAGCACATCGTTTTCGTGACCTATCGCGATACCTTGACAAAACCCACCTGCCAAAAACAAAAACCGGCGGTATTTCCAAAACGGACCTGGATACCACTCTCTCTCCTGGCCATTCTGCCCCGTCGCCACCCCTCCCCCCCCTGACTCCTCCCCCTGCCCCCCCCCTGTCGCGCGCCGCCACTGGGCCCCTGTCCACCCCGGATTCGGCCCCCTATCAGACTTCCCTGCGCCCGCAGAAAGCGGAAAACAAACTGCATCAGGCGTGGACAAAGTCACCTACACGGACTATCGGGAGAACTACGAAAACAACGTAGAAGACCTGATCGTTAGGTTAAAGCGTCAAAGTTACAAAGCGAGGCTGGTAAAACGGAAACACATACCCAAATCCCCTGGAAAAACTCGACCGCTGGGCATCCCAGTGCTAGAGGACAAACTGCTACAAACAGTAGGCTCAGATCTACTGAGTGCGATCTACGAGCAGGACTTTCATGATTTCAGCTACGGCTACAGGTCAAAGCGGGGAGCGCGCCAATGCGCCGACGACCTTACGGTCAGAATGCAATTTGGACGCTTCGGATACGTGGTAGAGGCCGATATCAAAGGCTTCTTCACACATATCGATCATGAAATACTGTTAGAATTGATAGCCAGACGGGTGGATGACAAACGGTATCTTCGACTGATCAGGAAATGGCTCAAGGCAGGTATCTTAGAAGAAGACGGCGCGATAGCGTATCCAGAGGAAGGCACGCCACAGGGCGGCAGTATCTCACCGATACTGGCGAACATCTATCTACACTACGCCATCGATGAATGGTTTGAGAAAGTAGTAAAACCGCACTGTGAAGGAGACGCGATAATCTGTCGGTACGCGGACGATTTTGTCTGCGCCTTTCAAAACAGGCGCGATGCTGAAAAGTTTTATCGCGTACTACCCAAACGCCTGGAACGATTCAAACTCCAGGTAGCCGAAGACAAAACCAACTGCATCCGCTTTAGTCGGTTCGCAGGCGGCCTGAAGAATCGATTTACCTTCCTGAGTTTTGAGTTCTACTGACAAAGACAAACGCGGGACGCGACTATTCAGGCGCACAGCGCGAAAGAAGCTACAGGAAAGCAAACGCGAGTACACAGCATTTATCAAGGAATCACGGCATATGAGAACGCCGTTATTGCTCGATAAGCTCACCCAAAAGCTAAGGGGTTATTACAACTACTTTGGTGTAATAGGAAATGTGGGAGACCTTTATCAGGTCTATTCCCATGTTGTGTCGCTGCTGTATAAATGGTTGAATCGACG